CAGTGAGTGCCCTATTAGGAGAAAAGAAAGCCACTAGGTTCGAAAGAAGACAGAAAGGAAGAGAATAAGAGATGAGGTCAGAGAGGAATCTGAAAGTTGCTGACACACTGTCTTATAGGCTATGGGAGGAGAAGTGGGCCCTGCACAGAACAGAACCAGTAGCACCAGGGGTGCAGGTTTAGGCCAGAGCCAGGGACACCAAACACAGACATAGTAAATACAGGCAGAGAATCAGGCTAAGGGTACCTAAGGAACTGAAAGAGCAATCGTTTACGGAGAATGGAGATGGGGCAGAGAATGAAACCCACTTAAACAGAAGGAAGCCCCAGCTGGTTTCGCTCAGTGGATAGAGTGTCGGCCTGCGGACTGAAGGGTCTCAGGTTCAATTCCGGTCAAGGGCACATGCCTGAGTTACGGGCTCAATCCCCAGTAGGGATAATGCATTTAAGTTATCAATTTCTCATTTGCATTGGCAGTACCTTCAATGGCTATAATTACAAACAGCCTTCTGTAAGATATTAAAAATAATATTTTTAATCTAACTTAGAGAGAGGAAGGAAGGAAGAGAGAGGCAAACATCAATGTGAGAGAGAAACATCATCGGTTGCCTCCAGCATGCACCCCGATTGGGGATCGAACCCACAACCTGGGCATGTGCCCTGACCAGGAATCAAACTCACCACCTTCTGGTGTATGGAATGATACTCCAACCAACTGAGCCACACTGGCCAGGGCAGAAATAAATTTTTATTATCAAGGTTGATGTCACAGATAGAGATTTGCTTTTTAAACATTATTCCATTGCAGGAACATTATTTATTGCCAAGCACCCATCTGTTTTGCATTTTAGTACTAACTTTTTATCCTCACATTCATTTCACTGAGAAGTTTCCAGGGGTGGTGTTGGAAGCAGTAGCAGTGGTTGTTATTTTGATAGAAGTACATTATATGCTAGGAAAGCTGAATTTATTTCAATTTCTCTTTTGCAAAGCAATTAATCAGTGCAATCCCCTCAGTTTCCAAGCAATTGCAAAAATAAAAATTGTAAAAACTACCATTTTCTCTCAGTTATTGCTTTTTTCCTAACTTATTATTTTATTTATTTGAGTAGCTAGCATACAATATTATATTGGTTTGAGGTGTGCAACAGTGATTTGACATTTATATATATTAAGATGGGATCACCACACTAAATCTAGTCACTATCTGTTCACCATGCAAAGTTATCACAATATTATTGATTATATTCCCCTTCATCTTTTTCATCCATGCCCTAACTGCGTGCGCCCCCCCCCACCCCCACCCCCGCCCCCAGCAACTATCCATTTGCTCTGTTTTAGACCTTTATTTGCTTATAATTTTTTCACCATCCATCTCTTTATCTTCTGCAACCTGACTTCTGGTCTATTTCACCAACCTGCTCTCATTAAAGCTTTCTTTTTTATTCAGATCTTTCTAGTGTGGGGTCCAACCCCAGCAGGTCCTGCAGCGACTGTGTCAAGCAGCAAGGATGGACCGGCTTCCGGCATTCTAGAACCCATTACCACCTTTCACATTTATGAACACACTCTCAAACTTGGGTGGCACTTAAAGCACATATTCCATGACAACACTCACTCAGAATCTGAGAGAAAAAGGCACCCGCTGTAAATGAAGAGCTAGAGGGGAAAATGTATATGAAAGAATTTAGCTGTAAGTGCTCAGAGGCAGAGCTGAGTCATAAATGGAGCACAGTTAGGAAGAATTTTTATTTTAAATCCAAGAGCCTTATAAGTCATCTAGGCCAATGCCTTCATTTTATAGATGAAATAATGAGGTATAGAAAATGTGTCAGTTAGGATGCCTTTGGTTACAAAGTAATAGAAAACAGCAACTCAATTTGGCTTAAACAATAAGTAACTATACTACACTAGAGGCCTGGTGCACAAAATTCATGCATTCGGGGGGGTGGGGGGTGTCCCTCAGCCTGGCCTGTGCCCTCTCGCAGTCCAGGAGCCTTGGGGGATGTCCGCCTGCCAGCTTAGGCCCGCTCCTGGGGATTAGGCCTCAGCTAGCAGACGGACATCCCTCTTGCAGTCCAGGACCCCTCGCTCCTTACCACCCACTTACTCACTGCTCCTTACCGCTCAGTTCGCTGCTCCTTAGCGCTGCCGCGGAGGTGGGAGAGGCTCCTGCCACTGGCGTGGAACGTTGTAGTCTGCAGCTGGGCTTCTGACTGAGCGGCACTCCCCCTGTGGGAGCTCACTGACCACCAGGGGGCAGCTCCTGCATTGAGCATCTGCCCCACATAAGGATATGCTGATTAGCCAATGGGAATGGTAGCGGTTGTACGCTAATTACCATGTTTCTCTTTTATTAGTGTAGATGATAATGGTCCAGACACAGTAACTCCATTGCTGCTCTTCTCTGTGGCTCCCATGGCCACTCCACCTTCCAAGTGTTAGTTTCAACTTCTGGATGTGAGCAAGTTTGCCTAGCATTTTCAGGATTTACATCAGAGTCCTGGCCATTGAGGGAGGAGGATAAGGGAAAGGGGAAAGTGTGTCTTTTGTTTGAGTCTCTTTTCAGAAGCAAAGAAATCTGACCAAGAAGACTCACTTGTTACCTCCCCATTTCTAAAACAATCACTGTCAAGGGAAATGGGATTTCAAGACTGGTTTAGTTTAAGCTTGTGACTAAGCTTGGGGCAGAATGAGGACTGAAGAGTTAAAGTTATTTAATAGGCCATAAACAAAATGTTACTCGTAGATCTAAGCTATATCTTGATTCTTACAGTTGTTTCACCACACTTCTCAGAATTTTACTTGCTTTTCCTGTTCATTAACAATGGATTCTACTCTTCTCTTTGCAAACTTCTCTGGGAAGTCACATGTTCTCTTTGTAATTATGTTAGGGATGTTGTGAGAATTAAATAAACCTATATATATAAAAGGCTAATATGCAAAGTGTCCCCTCAGGAGTTCAACCAGGAGAACGGGAATTTGATTGCTCACTATGACATGCGCTGACCACCAGGGGACGGTGCAGAACATGGCAGGCAACCAGTGGCAGCAGCGGGGCACTGAGGGAGTGAGAGAAGGAGGCAGGGAGGCGGGGAACCTGATTGGCCCTGATCACCGGCCAGGCCTAGGGACCCTACCTGTGCATGAATTTTGTGCACTGGGCCTCTAGTTACTATATATAAAGTGATCAGAACAATGCCTGTTACACAATAAGTACTCTATAAGTGGTATTTTTATTAAGGGGCATCTACTGGTTTTAGCTGCCCAGCATCCCTTCCCCTTCTTTTGTCAAATGTTTCAGTTTACCTTTGAAGAACTTCCCCTCACCAAGCCATACAATCTTTTTTTTTTATTTTTTACAGAAAGGAAGGGAGAGGGATAGAGAGTTAGAAACATCAATGAGAGAGAAACATTGATCAGCGATGTTGCTTACTGACTCTTTGCCTCAGTTTTCTTTCCTTTAAAATGGGGGAGTAAAAACAACTACCTCAACTGGTTTACTGTAAAACTTAAATGATTTCCCAAATGTAAAATGCCTGGAAGTGTTCTTGGCACATAGTCAGTCCTAAAAAAATGTTAATATTGCTGATGACAATGGTGGTCCAACGAGGTTATCTTTCTTCCTCACAACCCCTGTCTTGTTTCCATACCTATGCTCACCCTGACCCTCTCACCTTTTTAAATCCTTTAAGACATTGTTTCAAGCACCACAACTTCCACATTGATCTACATTAACCCTATACTTTGTTTGTAGGAAGTACATAATCTATAGCAGCTCTATTAGTCTCGATTTACATTATTTTTAATTGTACCTATATGTAAATCATGACTACCCCAACAAAAAAAGTGTTCCTGGAGGTCAAAATTTTATTTCATATTCTTTTATGTTCTTCATAGTCCCTAGTCCAGAGTGAGGCTCAGCAAGTCCTTAGCAATTCACTTCTGAATGGCCCTTTGAACAGCTAAGTGTACGTGCTGCTGAAGTTAGCACATGGCCCATTTTTTTACTGTTGTATAAGCTTACAAAAGATAGGCTACAGAACTTTCCGTTTTCTTCCCACAGTGGATCATACATACTCATCATCCAATTTTACTAATCTACAAAAAAGTTGAAAACTTCAGGAGCTGAAAATTAATTCCAAATATGATAAGAAATTCCAAATGTATCCTTTAAGGTTGATATTTGAATCTATGGTGTTGAAAGGTTTTGTTTTGTATAAAAACTAAAAACATAGCCTTAACTGGTTTGGCTCAGTGGATAGAACGTTGGCCTGCGGACTGAAAAGTCCCAGGTTCGATTCCGGTCAAGGGCATGTACCTTGGTTGTGGCACATTTCCAGTAGGAGGTGTGTAGGAGGCAGCTGATTGATGTTTCTCTCTCATCGATGTTTCTAACTCTCTATCCCTCTCCCTTCCTCTCTGTAAAAAATCAATAAAAACATGAAGATAAGGGGAACAGATACTCAGACACTTCCCCCCTTCTGATGCATTTTTTCCTCATAGAATTGTTGATGAAGGACAAAGTAGAAAAGGTAACTATTGTATCTTTTCATTGTCCTGTTTCTGAAAAAAATGTTCTTTTATTTTTGAAACTCTGCATAACATAAAGTACACCATCTTTGTTCTCTAATTTTTCTAAGCATGTGAAAAATATACACAGAAATAAAAACTGTTCCCATTAATGCCCAGAGCATACTATTTACATATATACAATAGCACTGTTTCATAACTATGTGGGCAGTTTTTTAATCATGTGGAAAAGTCAACTGAGAAAGAGAAATGGAAAAAGCCTAGACTCAATTCCATGTGGCTTATTGTTGTTTATTGGATATGGTTATTCTGGTTAGAAAAAAAAAATGTGGGTTTTTTAAATGCTACCCAGAATAAATTTTTCAACCAGACTAACTCTTCATTGTTTTTCTCTCTACAGAACATTCTAGGAGAGAAAGAAAAGGGAAGAGAGTAAGAGGAGAGGGGGGAAAAATCTACTTATCCTACTTGGATTGTGCAAGACAGCCTGGTGCAACCATATTCTGATTCTCCTCTTCATTCTGAAGTGCAGTGAGTTCTACCATGTTAACCATCACATCATTGGTGTGGCCGGGGAGCTGGGGAAGCACTGAAATGATCTTCTCTACCAAGTTGTCTCCATGATGTCCAACGGCTCCTGTTTAAGCAGACAGAAAATATGAACTCACAAAATGGGAGGAAAAAGAAGCTGAATTAACATTTTGATGACATGATGGGTATCAATAAATACTGAATGGATAAATAATCAGCATATAGTCAGCCAGGTAAATGGTGTCATAGGATGATACTATATTGAAATTTGAGAGCCAAATTTTACTGATGAAGATCATAAGAAGGGCTTGCAGACCTGACAAGGAATAGCAGATCTCCCTCTGCTAGGTCCATATCTTCATAATGGCAACTGTTTATCTAATTCACCCTATATTCACCATACCTGGCAGGCAACTTGGCAGCTAGTAGGTTCTCACTAATATTTGCTAGATAAAGGAAAGAATAAATAAATAAATGAATTTACAATGATAGAGGTATTTATAGAGTGCTTCCTGTGTACCAGGGACTGTTCTAGGTGCTTTACATGTATTAACTCTTCTAATACCAAATGACTAAATGAATCAAATTAAAATTCAAGGCCAATGACACAGTTTAGTACTTTTCCCATGAAACCAAGTTATCTTTCCAAAAGCCATTGTTGCTTGAAAGACCTCACTCCAAGGATGGGTGGGACTTGGAACATTTACTTGTTTTACCCACTTTAAGCCAATTAACATTTGCTTCCTAATGTCTCTCTCTCCTCTATCTCTATCTTTATCTCTGTCTTTCTATTGTTTTTTGCCAGGTCATATTATTTGGACAGAAAAACTACATAGAAAAGACCAAATCAAGAATTCAAGAAATCATCTTCATTACCATCATCATCTTTATCACAATAGCTAACATTTATTGAGAGCTTATGATGTATGAGGTATTAAACTTCATACTACATCTATTACGTCCCTCTATTATCCAATTAATTCTTACAACTCTAATAGGTAGGTGTTAATACAGTGGGGCCTTGACTTACGAGTGTCCCGACTAACGAGTTTGCCGATATTTTGCTTTGAGTTGCAAGCTAAAATTCGGGTTATGAGCCAGCTTCAGATACTCCACCGCTAGTTGGCGCAGCGAACGTCACAGTGAACGCCACAACATCAGCCCAGCATCATGTGTCTCACTCCTTCACTTTAATGATTTGACATACGAGTAATTTGAGTTACGAGCTCCGTCACAGAACGAATTAAACTCATAAGTCAAGGCCCCACTGTATGCTCATTTACAGAGTAGAAGATTCAGTTTAAGTAACTTGCTCAAGCTTACACAACTTTTAATATATATTTTTTATTGATTTCAGAGAGGAAGGGAGAGGGAGAGATAGAAACATCAATGATGAGAGGGAATCATTGATCGGCTGCCTCCTGCATGCCCCTGACTGGGGATCAAGCCCGAAACCCAGGCATGTGCCCTGACCATGCCCTGACCGAAATCGAACCATGACCTCCTGGTTCATAGGTCGACACTCTAACACTGAGCCACGCAGGCCCGGCAAGCTTGCACAGCTTTTAAATTACCAAGCAAAAATTCAAATTCAGGAAGCAGATAACTCCAAAAACTATACTCTTCTTAAAAAATAATAATCAGGCTTATAAAAGTGACTTAAGACAGAGCCAGCATGAGTGCTTCTATGGCAGTGGTTCTCAACCTTGGCTGCACATTAGAATCACCTGGGAATCTTTTTAAAATCCTGATTTCTGGGCCTCATCATTAGTAACAAAGAAACAGAATTTCCGGAGGATGAGGCCCAGAAATCAGGATTTTAAAAAGACTCCCAGGTGATTCTAATGTGCAGCCAAGATTGAGAACCACTGCTCTAGAGAGACTATAAACTCTGTGAGATCAGAGACTGTGTCCATCTAGTCCATCTTTGTATCCTCAACTTGAAAAACAGCAGGAGGTCGATAAAATATATGCTGAACCAGTGAAAGTCCCAGAACCTTGGGGAGTGCTTATGAAGACCTGCACAACAATCCCATTTACCTGTGAGATCCAGGGTTCTGTCCACAAAGACCACGGAGGCCCTGCCCGTAGAAGTCTTCCTCCTGTTCTTGGCAGGAGCATAATTGGCCAGATCTGCAGCTATGATCCGACTGAAGGAGCCTACAGCAAAACATTCCTCCCGCACTCCTAAATGCTCGCACAGAGAACTGAGGCCCGACACTAGGCACCTGATCTGCAATAGCAGCTCAGGGGGCAGGGCAGTGGCGTCCACCTCACCCAGGCTCCCCAGCCTCCTCTTGTCCGGTCGGGCACTATTAAGAAGATGCACATCCTGAGGTAGCAGTGGGAAAAGGGAAGCAAAGGCCGGAGTCAAGGCAAGGCAGGGAGCAGCAGGGGCTAGCAACAGCGGGATGTGCAGCACCTGGGCGGTGTAGTTCATGTTGCCCATCCACTCGCACAGCTTCTCCTCCAGTTGCTCGAATACTGGCTGCTGCCCCTCCAGCTCAGCCGCTGCGGCCGCGGGCACGTGATTAGCCGTGAGGTGCACCGCGTGGTCCACGGCAGTGACCACCACACAATACTGGAAGTGACTGCGGCAGATGATGTTCCGTAGAGTCTCCACGGTTCGGCCTTTCAGGAGGCCGCTCAGCACAAACACCGCCTTGGGCTGTTTAGCTCCGCCGCCCACTGCTTCGGGCTCGAACTCCCGCAGGTGGCACGCAGGACCCCCCACCGCCTCCAGGAGCCGGGTGGTTCCGCAGCCCCAGTGCAGGCTCTCGGCGCAGGCGGCGTCCAGGTAGACCAGGGCCCGTTTCACTTTGGCCAGCACCTGCTCCCAACCCTGCTGGGTAAAGGACTGTACGCCCGGGGCGCTCATCGTTGGGGATTCGCACACTCAGGGACTAAAACTTTCCTCAGAACTCACAGCTTCCGGGAATTGGGCTCTTTGAGACTTTGACAGGCAACTCGGTACACGCGGGGCCGCGTCCTACTCGTCCAGAGGCTGCGCACGGTGATGACGTCGCAGGACGTGATTGGCAGGTCCGGAGACCCGCTCCTGTAAGAAGGCTGCGGGCTGGGAAGAGGTGGGCGGGGCTGGGGGGAGGTGGGCGGGGCTGGGGGGAGGTGGGCGGGGCTCCGGGGCTCAGGGATTCCTGGAAAGTTGAGGGAGAGGAGGAAGCTGCCTAGGAATAGCTGAACTACGTTCTTTTCTTCTCCCTGTCTGCTCAGATGACCTTTCCCGGCCCCTGAGAATCCAAAGTTTGATACTTCCTTAGAGATGAGCACATCTCTTTAAAAGTACAGCCCCTTTCTCCACCTAAACTCAAAGCAGCCGCCCTGCTGGAGTGGCTCAGTGGGTGAGCTGCGACCTATGAACCTGGAGGTTCCAGGTTGGATTACCTGTCAGGGCACATGCCCGGGGTGAGGGCTTGATCCCCAGTGTGAGGTGTGCAAGAGGCAGCTGATTTTCCCTCATCATTGATGTTTCTGTCTCTTCCTCTTCCTTCCTCGCTGAAATCAATAAAAATATATTTTTAAAATAAATGAATGAATAAACTGAGAGCAGCCTGAGCTAAAACAACTAACTAATGTTTTGTAATTTATAGATGTTGCACACAGGCCTCATAAACAATCTCCTGGTCTCATTTTCACTTTCTCCATCTCTCCGCCCTCATCGAATTGTCAGTAAGTCTTAGTCTGCTTCAAAAATCTGAAAATCCAACCCCTTCTCATCCTTACTTTTAAAGAGCTGTGCTCATCTCTAAGGAAGTATCAATGTATCCTCACCTTCCAAATGAGGATATTCCTAAGTCACCACCACTACTATCATCATCCTATCTTCCTTCTCAGTCCTCCAATACAAAACATACAGTTGATATCTCTGATAAGTACTTGCCATATCATGGGGTGAGGGTTTTAAAAAAAATATTTTATTGATTTCAGAGAGGAAGGGAGAGAGAGAGATAGATTAAAACATCAATGATGAGAGAGAATCATTGAGCGGCTGCCTCCTGCATGGCCCCTACTGGGGATTGAGCCCACAACCTGGGCTTGTGCCCTGGACTAGAATCAAAACCAGGACCCTTCAGTCTGCAGGCCAACGCTCTATCCACTGAGCAAAACCAGCAAGGACTCGGGATGAGTTTTAACATACTTGTTTTCTTTAACATATCTATTCTGCTACAATATAATAGGTGTTCAATAAATGTTTGTAAAATAATGTTCAATTCATATCTGTAGAATAAATAATATAGCCAACCAACTTTTAATAGACTTGTACAATATTCCAGACACTGTGTTGGACATTGGGGATATAAAAAGAAGTAAGCCACGGTGCCTCTACATCTCTGCCTTCTATCCTAGATCTTATTGTGACAGGATAGTAAGAAGCTAAGAAAATTCCTGGGCAAGTGGAATAGGGAAACTGAGGCAAGAAAATTAAACAGGGATAAACAATTTGAACAACTTAAAGCTAGCTTGTGAATCACAAGAATTAATCTTCCCCAATCATGGACACTTGAAAGCAAATGGTTTATACCTCCCCTCCCTAACCAGAGAATACATAGCTTAAATCACCCTGGCCTGAAAAATAGAGATCAGAGACCCAATTAATGCCAATTGTGCCAGCTAAACCCAAGGACAAATGAAGTCAGGGGAACAAATAACAAAAGCCCCATTAAAGCCAGACAGACCCAAGATAAAAGTAAAGCAGATCAAAGAATGATCCCAAACTCTGCTATCCCCTCATTTTGATGCATTAGCACATTAAAAATGCACCTGGAAAGCTGGTGAATATTCTGCTGAAACCCTCCCCTAAGATTCTTGCCCTTGGGGCAGGGAGGGGGGGTGGGGGAGCAGGAGAGATACCCTTGCCTTCAAAAGCACCTGAATCAAAAGAATTCATACACAGAAGCATGGAACAGATTGGGAAATCTCAGAGGGAAGGCTGGGGAGGATGGGTGGGTGGGAAGAGATCAACCAAAGAACTTGTATGCATATATGTATAACTTATGGACACAGACAATAGGGTAGTTAAGGCCTGGGGTTGGGGGAGTGGGGTGGGAGAATGGGGTGAGGACATGGTTAGATGAGGTCAATGGGGGGGGGGCATATGTAATACTTTCAACAATAAAGATTTTTTTTTTAAAAAAGAACTCATACATGTAAAGCAAGCAAGTGCAATAAAATGTTGCAAAAGTGATGAATTTTTTTTTAATGCCTAAAAATTACAAAGTGGGGAAAATAAATTCTGACTGGGTGAAGTAAAAAAGGGAAGTGGTCAGAAGTTTCAGATAGAAAATGAGTTTTTAGTTGCCTTCAAAGAAAACCAGGTGTTCACCAGGTGGAGAGGAGCATTCCTGGCAGTCCAGGAAGAAAATGCAGCATGAACAAAGCTAGTCATGAAACCATACAACATGTTCTTTGCAACTACAAATAGTTCAGTACAGCTGGAGTGTATTGTATAAAGAGAGACTCAAGAAGAAGTAAGAGCTAGGAACTAGAAAAGAAGGGACTAGATTAGGGTGAGTCTTATTTTTTATTCTAAATAGTAGAAGCCAAGGGGGAACTACTAAAGTATTTTTAGGAGTGGAAATAACTTGTTCACATTTGGAGTGCAGAAAAAAAATTAGTAAAGACATGGACAATTATTTGGATGCAGTAAGATTTTGAGCTGAGTGCAGTTAGGAAACAGTAACAGCAACCGCTCAGGCTAGAGTAGATAAGTACAGGTGATGTAGTAGGATATTAAGAAGTTAGGAAAATCCCTGTGCACGTGGAGTGAAGAAACTGAGACAAGAAAATTAAACAAGGCCAAACAGTTTGGGCAACTTACAGCCAGCTTGTGAACTGCAAGACCTTATCTTCCCTATCCAAGGACACTTGAAAGCAAATGCTCTAGCCCAGGGGTGGGCAAACTTTTTGACTCGAGGGCCACAATGGGTTCTTAAACTGGACCAGAGGGCCGGAACAAAAGCATAGATGGAGTGTTTGTGTGAACTAATATAAATTCAAAGTAAACATCATTACATAAAAGGGTATGGTCTTTCTTTTTTTAGTTTTATTCATTTCAAACAGGCCGGATCCGGCCCGCGGGCCGTAGTTTGCCCACGGCTGGTTTATACCCTCCTCCCTAATCAGAAAATACATAGCTTAAAGCACCCTGGGCTGGGAAAATAGAGAACAAAGACCCAATGAATACCATTTGTGCCAGCTACACCCAAGGACAAATGAAGTTGGGGTACAATTAAGAAGTACCCCATTAAAGCCAGACAGACCTACGATAAAAGTAAAACAGACCAAAGAATAATCCAAAACTCCCCTATACACTCATTTTGGTGCATCCACATATAAAAGATGCACCTGGAAAGCTGAAGAATATTCTATTAAAATCCTTCTGTAAGATTGTCACCTGCAGAAGAAGAAGAAAAAATAAAAAAGAAAAAGTTCTCAGGACAAAGACTCAAGGTGGGCTCACTCTAGAGTACACCCATGCCCCTTCCTAAGCATGAACTTTTTTTTCTAAGGGTCCCCATGAGATCTGCAACCAGGGGAACAGTGGGCAGCTGCAGTTGGACCCGGTCTCACCCTGGATCCTGTCAAGGCCCCCTTTTCTATGACTTCGCAGTGAGCTGATAACAGCCCCTCCTTGGCTCGCTTCTTTCTACAACATTTCTAGAGCCAAAGCAGAGCACCGCCTGGGCTCGCCCCAGTTGTTTTTCACACCCTAATTTCTTCCTTTGTTTCGCTGCCCTCAGCATTCATAAACATACCTCCAAACCCCTCTGGACTCCTGTTGTGAAATCTTTCCTACACAAAGTCAAGAACCCAAGCACTCCAGGCAGGCCTGTGGCAGACCTGCTCAGGGCAGGTCCCTGTCTGGTAACAGTGATAGACATTGAGGGGTGTCTAAGAAATGTTAAGGAGACAGGGCCAGAAAGCCTGGGGACTGGATTGACAAAGCGAGTGAAGCAGAGGGAACAATTCCGATTAATGCCCACTTAAGTGGTCGTCACTGAGATTTGGAAAATCAAAAGAGAAACAGTTTGGGGAATAAATGTACTGAGTTTGGTTGGGACATGTTTTTGTTTGTCTGATGTTTTAATTGTAACAAAATACATGTAACATAAAATTTACCATCTTAACCAGTTTTAAGTGTACAGTTCAGTAGTGTTAAGCATTTTCACATTGCTCTGTGAACAATCTCCAGAGCTTTTATATTCTATACAGTCTATCCATTAAACAACAATTCCCCATGTCCCCCTCCCCTGCCCCTGCAACCATCATCCTATTTTGTGGTTCTAAGAAGTGAACTCTATTTACCTCATAAATGGAGTCATACAATATTTTTCTTTCTGTGACTGGCTTATTTCACTTAGCATAATATCCTCAAGGTTCATCTGTATTATAATACGTGTCAGAATTTTCTTCCTTCCATTTCTTGCTCTCAGATGTTATGGCAGAGTAAATTAATTCCTGCTAAAATGACATGCTTAAGATAATAAGATTTATCTTATTTAAATGTGATTTGTATTTCACTAAAAATATCCAGCAATTATTTCCCATGCCTCATAAAATCAAGCATATCTCCCTTTACCTTATTTCTAAGTCCTGCATATGAGTGATCAATTTAAGAATTTACTAAGCACTTTCCATGTGGTTGACATTGTAAGAGAGGATTAGCTGACTACAGAAAAAAACACAAACCAAACTGTTCTCAACATTAAAGAATGTGCAGGCCCTAACCGGCTCGGCTCAGTGGATAGAGCCTGCGGACTGAAGGGTCCCAGATTCTATTCCGGCCAAGGGCACATGCCTGGGTTGAGGGCTCGATCCCCAGTAGAGGGTGTGCAGGAGGCAGCCGATCAATGATTCTCTCTCATCATTGATGTTTCTATCTCTCCTTCTCCCTTCCTCTCTGAAGTCAATAAAGAAATATATTTTTTTTAAAAAAAAGAATGTGCAGGTTATATAACAGTTA